CTGGCCTTAACACCCAGAGAGGTGGTTTCACTTACCTCGACTGCGTCACATATTTCACTACAAACCAAGCTAACAGAAGTCCGTAACTCCGGAAGAGAAGAATTACACTGGAACTAAGCCCAGAGAAAGGGATGTGCTCCTATAAGGCAGTCACTGTGTACCTTGGTCACATCAAAACGAAGCCAGCTTTGCTCCGGAACAAGGTGTAGGTGTTTGTCTGGATGTACTTTTATTATAACTCAAACTATTACTGTGATAAGCTGGTAAATAAGGGAAAGTAAAGTGATAGTTACTATTAAGTTTAGGAGGTGGTCAGATACTGAAAAGGACTGTGGTACCTTGTCAGTACCCAGAGAGAGAATATAAATTACACAGGAAGGGTATGAGAATATATGAGAGAATATGGTAATTGCCACAAATAGGGAATTATGTCACTCTTACCTTATTTTTACAAACAGATTTAAGCACATTAACAATCAAACAATGAATTTATTTGCAGGATACATTTATCATACACAGAAAACAATACTTATTGTTTGGTTGATTAAATAGAGAAAAAAAGCAAAACAAACCCACAATACATTATTCAAAGTGTTCCATATATTTGTTAGCTGAATTCTGCAAAATGAAGCTTTCTTTTTTTTCTTTTTTTTTAAAAACATGATCGTGAACAATGCATAGTGGGAACAAAGGGTCTAGAAATCTAACATTCCACGGCTGTGAGTCAGTGTGAAAAATAAGGCTATGTAGAGGAAAAAAAACCCACAGCGAATTTCAAAACAATACATATTCCATTGACAGGCTTCAGATAAGATCATCTGAGCATATGAAATCTAAAAGCAAAGTTACATAAGGAAAAGAGGAGTTTAAAATATTAACAAACAACTTGGGAAGGAAGAAACTAGGTTTCTCCAGCGATGGCTTGGAAATAGCCTCCAAAGGTTCAAACTAGTATCAAGTGAAGGTCAATTACACCATGCTGCTGCAAAAACCAACCCGAGATGAACATGTAGAGGTGAGAAATACCCCAGTCCATTTCACTAAAGAAGCTACAACTACCCATACCACCTACTCAGCACATGGAATGACAAAGTGTAAAAAAGAAAAGAAAAAGTTTGATCACCCGTCCTGGAGTGATTCAGTGAAGGGCTGGAAAACATATCTGCACGCTCTGAAGTGTGAATTACAAGTTCTTTTCACGTTTCACGCCAGCGTAAATGGAATGAATGGAATTGCAGCGTCATATCCTGCTCTTTGTTCCTGCCCTTTCACACTGGCTCAGCAGTGTGAAGGTTTCATAAAGCTGCCATAAACTGAGGTTCTTCACTGCCCTTGGTCGCTGCCATCTGCTCTTCACATGATCGTAGTGCATGAGTCCAAGGAACAAGAAAGAAAGAGTCGCAGAGCTGCCGTTTCCTGGCAGTCCCTAGTACAATGCTTCCCAAATGCTGCATTAATACAGGATACGTACCCCAGATAACTCAGCCACATTAAATAACTAACCTATATATAGTGTTACATGAAATTCAGGATAAAGAGGCTATAAAATAACTGCTAATATTGGATCTTACCTGAGTTAGATTCAGCTTCCTTACTCACAAGGTCACAAGAACAAAGCTGAGGCAAGACTGGTTGTGGGAATTGGTCTGAATGCAGGTGTACAGAACACACATTTTAGAAGTAACTGTTGTTTTCCAGAGTTTAAATCACAACTTTTAAAAACAATTAAATACAGACTAGGGTACATAAACCTGTATAATCCTTCTTCATCTGTCATAAATTATATCCAGATACAAATTCAGATCTTTCAGATAGAAGACACACAGAATTTATTTTAAAAATTATTTGCTACAGGTCACCCTTCGCCATCGTGTAATATGTACGGGAAACTATTGGGAAAACTTGGACTGTTGATGTTCTGAACTGAACAAAAATATATCCTTATTTCAAGAAAGCTGAAACAGCCTGACTGCCATGGGGAGGTCTGTCCTGAAAACATTATTTCTTCAGTATACTCTACACAGTCTCACTTGTCCCAGTTATCATTCGGAACAGCACAAATAGCAGCATTTAGACAGCGATGGACTCTAAAGGTTGATCTCTTTTAGTCGCCCTGAAAAATCTGTGTTTACCATGCTTGTAGCTGAGGCCTCACAGAAAGCAAGAAACATATTTTAAACATCAGCTGAACAACACTTATGCAGCTGTGGTTACATTATGTCCATCGCTTGCCTTCTGTTAATAAAGAAGTTAGATCAGTTATGGGAGAAAAACATAGTTGCAATTTTAAAATCCAGAGAAAGCCATGGAATTCAGAGAGAGAAAGAAAAAGAAAAAAAAGCCTACACTGCAGAGTGTGGAGTACTGCTGGAAGTCATCCCAAAAAAAGCAGCAATACAGACTGTGGCTGTGTATGTATCTGTTATATGTATGTATACATGTATACACACACACACAAATGTAGAATCATCATCACTGAAAAATATAACTGTCAATACAGTTGGTTGTTTCATTCTAAATAAAAAGGATGAGTTTTTCCACTGTGGCTCATAAATTTGGGCTGAGTAGTCTGCAAGTTTGTCTAGACTTTTTCTAGTGAAGTCTCTTCCATTTAACTTGTACGGAAGCAAGCTGGTTTTAATTTCCTAAGTCAGCAAAGAGCGTGTAACTTCCCACATGCTAAGAAGGTAGCCATTTTCATGTCACACCATGCATTATCAGACCATGCCACGGAAGTCTTTGCCGATATTAAAAAAATCCTCATAAAAACCAAATCAGAACAGCAACTGATTACAATTATGGAATTCTTCTGGCAATTTTCAAGTAAAAGCTACATATAACACTTCCCAATGTTAGACATTACTTCTTCCATCTGATACAGATTTAAAATGCATAGTATATACATAAATACTAGTATCTATCCAATCTTCAAGAGTGTTCGGTTTTACACTCCAGTCAATGTGCCCTACCATTATATTGACGGATTCTGTATTAAAGAATACGTTACATTCTGAGGGACTAATGAGAATGAGAAGTAGAAAGATTTCATTTTAAGGAAAGGCTTCCTTTCAATTTTTACAGGAACAGAAATAGAGGAAACATCGCAAATACTCCAGAGTAAAAATCCAACACACAAACAACATTCTGTGTCCTCTCTTGCTAAACAGACAAACAAAACCACAGCAAAACCCCTCCCAATAACTGTATGTACGGCAATTGCTTATCAGAATGTAATCCGTATGTTAGGATTATAGGAGAATGAAATGGATCCACTAAGCAACTTCTGCTGCAGAGAGTGGTCCTACCTACCTATCACCTTTGTCCACAGGTAATCTAAGACGTGCTGGGTCACCATTCATACCCAGTTTGCTTAAAGTCTTGACTCAAAGCACCCGTACGTAACTAAATCGACCCTTATTCAGTAGAATTCCAGCACATGGAGAAATGGACCCATGAATTATTTTTAAACGCTTCTAGCACTGTCTCTCCCATGGAAGATAACCAGGGTCTTTACAGTGTACTAGCGTGTCTGTTTTGCTACAGCCATGACCAATGTCTTCGCCACCCTCTTTTTGATTATGAGGTCAAACACAGACTGAAGTTCTACTTAGTGTAACTGTGGCTTTCAGTGATTGCGTAAAGTAAAATAAACTGGATTTAGTTTCCTTCAACAAAACATCACGTTTTGGTAGCACATCAAATAACCAGGAACAACCTGCCAGCCTCATTATAGCAGATGCAACTTGTGTATGTTAATTCAGAAACTTTGTTTTTTTAAATCTCTTGCCTACATCTCCAGGAGGGGCACTATGCTAAAAGATTGTCCCAAGCAGCTGTAGTCAACATGAATATATAAAGTATCAAACTTGAAATGTTTTTCACAGAGTACTTTTGAAATCACCATAAATGCATTTGTTGTTGCTTTAGATAGTAAGACAGAACTGCAACTCTGATACATAAATAGTAGCCGTTTTGGAAAGTAAATACCCTGTCTTACTAAATTGCATTAAAACCCCTAAGTGCCAATTAATTTTGTGCACTGTAGATCGGACAAGACACAGAGACAGAGGAAAGTGGCACAGAGTCGCTGAAAGGAAGAGCTCGGATTAGTTGGCAGCCACTTAGGTGAGCGAGCAGGCTTCTGGAGCACAGCTTCAGAGCCAGGTTTTGTGCAAGAACCAGGCTGCACCTATCCCTCCTGTCCACGGATGGATGGCAGAGTGGCCCATCAGAACTCCTACCCTGAAACCTCTATACATTTCCAGAAGGGATGATGAGTTAGACTTTCAGGGTGTCTCCTGAAGAAAGAGAAGCACGCTGCTAGCTTCTGATAGTTTGGTTTTCCTTTCTTGCACTTTGTGTGACTTTTAACAGTCCCCAAAGGGACCGACTCACGCTGGATTGACTGGGAGATTTACTGTCTTACCGGGATCTGTGCCAACGTGCCTGGGTTGAAACGACTGAAAATGAGAGGCACGGGCCTGCCATGCCACAGAGGTGAACTTCAAGAGGCACACCCAGCCTGTGACAGCACTGGAGAGGTAAGTAAACTAACACAACAACAAACAAACAAACAAACGTGCTCTCTCATTACTGCTTGAATCATCTTAAGAAAAGAATACATCTTAAGTACGTGTGAAGGCTACTGTGCAAAAATACAGTAACACATCGGTGAGCACATCAGTTACAAATCCATGCAGTAGCACCAGGAATTGGGCTCAACCCCGCTTTTAAAATTACCTGGGCTTTTACCTCTAGTGCCAAGAGAATCTATGTTAGCTGGTCGTGAATGCTTCAGTCCTCCCTGCAGGCCAGTATCTGTGAGCTTAGCTTCCACTTCAGTTCCTGATGGAAAGGCCATTTCTGTAAAGGAACTCTGAGCTGCAGCAGCTCCTATGGGGAGCGCTGTACGAGCCAGAAGTTGCAGGGTATTTTTCAAAATTTTCCTATTTCAAATATTTAGGCTTCCAAACTAGAGCTTTTTTTTTTTTTTTAAATATCAGTCTATATCGAGGCAAGGCTCTGACTGAACCTGATTTATATAAACTAGGCAATATATCACAGGAGGGCATGACAGTCAATATATAATCCTATTGGGTACAAAATATTACAGACTTAAAGAGCTTCAAAGTACGTGAGACATACTTCAGTCAGCAAAACACTGACTGTTCTTCCACTGTTCATTTAAGAACAAGGATATGGTCTGTATTCATTTCAGAAAGCAAAGTCAAATGTTTAAATAGTTCAATTCACAATCATATTCTTCCTCTAAACAATTCTGATCCAAGACCAGCTTCAGCTAAACATCTTTGTTAGCTATCTTTGAACAGCATGAATCCTAGCAAAGGAAAACAACACTTTGAAAGACAGAAAACCATCAGTGAGTTACTGTACATATTACATGCATAGCATCAGAAGATAGACGCCATAAAAACAACAGGTTTCACTTTTAACTGTAAACAGGTATAGTACAGTATTATTTTCTGAGTAAAACAACACAAACATTACTTATCACTTAGGAATAATTGTGCACAGCATACTTCAGCGCTCAGAAACTAAATTTCAGTTATCTTGTAGCTATTGCTGACAAATATTGCCTTTAAAAAATCTTCAGCTGCGTATGATAACATACAACTGAATGTGTAAGAAACACAGACATGTGGGCTTTGTTATCCTCCCACATGCCTCATTCTTAACAGATGTTGGCACTTCTCATCTACATCCTGAGGACAACATGCTTCCAGTCATTTTAGCCAGCTGAAAAGGAAAGATACTAAGCCATATGGCCTCTCTCTCCTCATTAACACATGGTAAGCATTTACTTAGCTTTTCACCATTTTCAGATCAGACTTTAGGGCTTCTTAGAGTCCAGTTTGGTAGAATACCAGATTAAAAAAAACAAAACAAGATAGTCAAGACTATGCCGACTGAGAAATGATCAGAGCCCACACAGATTTTCTGACAATTATTCAAATTATAAAATAAAACCAAAGTGGTTTTTTCTCCCACTTTACGAACGTTTGAGGCCAAATAATTCCCTTATTTTGAGATCTAAATTAATGAAGTCTTAGGCTTCTTCCTGTGAAACTTTACAATGCAATTTCTCCAAGATTAGTACAGTGCTTAAAGAGTATATAAAAAGGTTCCTAATTCTTTCTGTTAGATTTCCCTTGACCACAGGCACAACGTTGTACAGTTTTAAATTAAGACAGCAGCCACCAGTGATTGTTCTTTCAGTGTCATTTTAAGGGAATTATTTCAATCCCAGTACTGAACAAGTTTTAAAATGCAATGGATTCATTATTTCTGTGTACTTTCAGAACTGATGGAAGCGTATCCAATGTTCTATCGTGCTGTCACCATCCAAAGTCCCAGTGCAACATTGGCAGCCAAAAGTGCACTACCAGCAAGCAAAATTAAAAAGCCAACAAGCTCTCTGTTTTGTTTTTCTACAATCAGGGAGCTCAGAGTGGCTTCCAGGAATGAATTTAATATCCACTGGCCATCCAAAGCAAAGCAGGGTACAGCATTGATAACTGCCAGTGCTCCTGACAGTGAAATTAGGTACCTGGTTGACATTAGTTAAGGCTCATGAATAATATCCAAGAAAATGTAAAAAAAAAATTTAATACAAAACATATTTTTTATTTCTAGTGTGCAGAGAGAAACATATGAGGGTTAATTTTTTTAGCTGCCATTGTGTTTCACAGAAATGATATGAGTACAATGAGTTTCACACCATAACATACCAGCTCAGAGAACTGCCTTTAAAGATTCATTTGTTTTTAAGCACTAGGTTTGGATACTTAAACAACCTGCACTCTTCAAAACTCAGATGAAAGCAGGAGACAGCAAAACCACACTTAATACCGCCCATCTTCCTCCCTTGCTTTGTGTGGTTTTGGAGGAAGGTTATAGCTCTGACACCATGCCTGAAGTAAGAAGGTATTCTAGACCTATGACCTAAGTATGAAATAATGATTAGGAGTATTTTCCAAAACACTCCCTCGCTGGAGTAAGTAAATGGCTAGAATATAATTGGAAATCTGGCCTCTCTCTCCTACTTACCTGTTAGCCAGAAAAGTTGAGTGGATTTCTGTACGTGCATGTCAGAATGAGGCAAGGGTAGATAATTTTTATTGCTGGTAAAGGCTTGCTAAGTGTAATACCTACCTCCATCCCATAATGGCCGGACAAGAAGACATATGACTCAGAAAGCAGCTGGGTCAGCGTGAACCTTGGTGTGTTCCCAGAAAAGGGGAGCTTATGTAGCATCTTTACTCTAGTTTTATGGACTACACTGAACGACACTGTTTAATTATTCTATAGCCACGCATAAACATTTCAGTTCCTAAGGCTAAGGGTTCTCAGATTAGCCATATTCAAGCCTACTAACCTTCGTGTATGTGTATATATATCATCTCGTTCATTAATAAGCATGTTTTAACTGAATTGTCATCCTGCTTTTTGAATAGGCTAAGTTTTCTTTTTTGTTGAAGGAAAAAAGAAACAACCACCATACCCTGTTATTTAGTTAAGTATAATGACTCAAAAATGATAAAACTCTGACATACCAAAGCTAGCAATAACATCTCATTTGTCCTGCCGTAAATTCAAGCTTATTTTGACTTCTTCATCAGAGCTGTTAAGACTCGGCCTCCTCGAGAAAGAGTTAAAAAAAGCACTGACCAAAAATATCCTGCTAAGCACAAGAAAGTGAGAGATTTCATTCTGAGCTTGGCACATGGACAATAATCAATGCAGAGATGGGATAAAGATGTCAAAACTCTACAGAAATGTTTCAGAGCATCCTGTCTAAAATGATATCCAACTGAAATTTTGCTGGGTCACCAAATTCTAAATAGTTCCATTCTTGCCTTGAAAGAACAAACATACTTCAAAGGATACTTGCAAAATGTCTCTATCACCACAGGCAGATCGATGCTTAGAAAGTTTTGTCGTGGTACAAAACTGCTGAGACTTACTGAAATGAAAATATAAAGATACACAAAACATGAACAGTCATTCCAGGATTACAACATTATGAATTTTAGATTATAATTTTGCAGAAAAATCAGGTCTGAAATGACGTTTCTTCAAGCATGAATAACCAATCTAAATATGGTTTTGCTTGGTTTTTGTTTTTAAGAGTGCAGCCATTAAAGAAAACTTAAACATGGTCTCAGTCATAGTAAAGTCACTCCACAAAATACAGTTAGCATGATCTCAGTAAAAGTAGATCTAAGATACATATTTTCAGAGGCAACTGGACATCTGTAGTCATAAAGACCACATTGTGTAATTTAAGTCCTTTTCAAAGAAAAACATATAAAAAGAGATTATAGTTACCAGACTTTTTCAACATATGCAGTCCGCATGTATACATTCATACTGTGGGTGCACACGTGTACTTTCTCTGAAGACCAGAAAATTCCTCTCTTGCAGTACCTGCAGAAGATCCCCCTGACCTGAGGCTGAGCTCATGGTGTACAGGATCGGAGCAGATAGGGAGCAGAGTTCTGGAGTCACTCTGAGACAGCAAAGGCTAGGAGATGATGCACAGCTGCATTACACACCTTAACACCAGTTAGCCAGTACATAAGTAGCTTCTTTTTCTGTCTTCAGATGATACTGTAAGTGACTCCAAGATGTAACTTAGTGCAACTTAAAAACCTGGGAGGTGGGACTCAGCATCCTTCCTATAAATAGTGACTGGAAAATTGCAGTGTCAAGCACCACATGACCTTGAAACACTTCTTCAGTACTGTAACTTCTTCGAAGGTGTACATGAAGCTTCAGCTGACTGCATGTCAGATGTTTATGAGAGCCTCCTCAAAGAAAACTGAGGTAGCTTGAGACCTCCCAGAGTGCACTCTGTTAGTAGAGGGATGCTCCATCTGGGTTGTCTCATAAAATGTCTTGACGCAGTCTTTCAAAGTAAACAGCAGTTTCAGTCTGCCAGCCTCAGGGACCGTTGGAAAGCCTTGGTTCTGTGACAGCTGGAAGAAAGACACCTTTCCTATTAGAAGGCTCCACTGATAGTATAGCGGAGTCTTATCCCCAGAAGGAGGAGGTTTAGGTAAATTAAGGCAGAATTAGAAAATCACCTTAAGAATGAGCTTGCACAGTATCAACAGCAGTCACTCTGGCCCTCAAGAACAACTTTGGACGTGAGTTGAGGCCAGCCACAATGGCCTGAATTTTCCCTACCAACCTGGGAAAAGTTATAACCCTAAGAAATACCATCTCCACAGAGATGTGTGAAAGCAAGAGTTCAAATCCCACTCAGTACAAACATCCCTTGGGAAAGGAACAATTTAACCCACCCTTGGAGAAATTTTAAAACCATAGGCTAAGAGAACACTGGGAACCTTACAGCACTAGTACATAACATACCAAAAGTGCTGCTAAGTATACCTTAGTTAAGAGCGAGATCAGTTTTCTTCAAGTTCAATAAACAATTCAAGGACACCGGAACAAAGACAAGGGGAAAGTAGTTCCAAAGGCACGTGAGGCAGAGAACTGGTCCACTCAGTCACATAAACACATTTTTTTCTGTTAATAGAGGCCCTTCTGATCAGTCAGAAGCGATAATTAGTCCAACCAGCAAGCATACCATGGGATGGAGAGATTTGGATAGCAAGGAGTCCCAAAAAAAGAATGGGTTTAGCGTGACAACAAGCAGAGAACTTCCCAATACCAAAACTGCCACAGATGTGCCAAGACAGCTTGAAAATCATGTTCTCTCTTACCTTAGCTTAAGAAAGACCTTTGATTTAGGGGAACTGAGGGAAAATAAGTCTGTTGGATTCCTGAGTGAAGAACATAACAGACAGAAATCCTGGACACCACCCAGCTCAGAAAGTCAGAGGCATCCAAGTCAAGTGATACACAAAGCAAACAACTCATCGAGCTGAAGGCTGGTATCAGGACATCTGATCAGACCTCTTGTTCATGAGCCAAAATAGCAAAATGGCTGAGGCAGCCAGTGTATTCAAAGGTTTCAAAAGACACACACTGCAGTATACTGTAATTTCAAAGCTTGACTGCCTCTTGACAAACACCTAATGACCACTAACAAGTCACCATCCTGAATCTGAAGTTGTGCCTACATTGAGAATGGATCACTAATCTCCTTCCCTCTTTGTTACAACAAACTGTCCGTTGTCGTCCCTGACAGCCACTAGACATGGATCTAAACTCCAAACCTTGCTGCTGAAGCAATCTCCAAAACACAAAGAAACTCTTCAGGGAGTTGCTGGACTGAGCTCTAGACACTGTAATATGAGGCAATGAATTTAATGGCTGTAATGGATCAAACCTAACGGCAGCAGGCAAATCTGTCCTTCAAAGAATAACAGAAGAATTACAGAAATTATGTTCTCCAGGCTTCTCTTCAAAAGACACTGCTGGGAAGAGGTGAACAGCAATGAGGCTGGGTGAGAGAAAACAGTCATTGTTTTCCCACTCTAATTAAGCAATTCTTTGACCTGGAATTAACATTTCTTTTGTTGGCTAATGCTAGATGGTGTTGGCAAATATTGCGAAGAATGCACAATGGACACAATTTTAATTAGAAGTGATTTGCAGACTAGGTTGACCAAAGAGCTTTTCAAAACCTCTTCATGGGGGCAAGGCCATGTATGCTATAGAGGAGAGGGACAGTACAGCATGAGGTATTTCTGTGTGGTCTCCAGAAGACCTATACATGTAACCCTTTAAATATGGATTGAAAGCAAAGAATGATCATCCTCAGCAATAAGGGGAATCAAGCATGGAAATACTGAGAAACCAGACTGTACCAGATAGACTTTCATCAGGGATTATGGCTGTTGTTGCCCAAAAAACTCTCCAAAGCCAGGAGGTGGCTTTTTTTTTTTTGAAGATTTGGATACAACAGGAGCAGGAGACTGGTCCAGTTTGGGGAAACTATCTTCTAGGTAAGTTCCATCTTCTTTTCATGAAGGAAATCTTGCAGTTTTTGATCCCTGATGGGCGATGCAGATACAGTAACATTCAGGGATATGATCTTCCCTCAAGCAGTGTGAGTTCCAAATGTGAATGTTAGTCACCAGATTCTTCCCAACCAACAAGGGCCAGAGAAGGAAGCCAAGATTTTGCAATACCAGAAATGACATGAAGGAATAAAAAACCCCATACAAAATAAAGAAGAAACACTGCAAAGTTGCATGGCAATAATGACAGGGCCCTCCATTTCAAACCTACATACCATCTGTCCAACACAGGGAGAGCCTCTAGAGCATAACTGGCCTGCAATAAGGAAAGTCTAAAAGTCTTGAGTAATACCACACGAATTAAACCCACAGTATGAATTTATATTGGATTATATTAGATACTTTTTACAGAGAGAATGCTAATTAAAAGGATTAATCGATGTGTCCATCCTAAACAACATGCATTCCTAATCATTCCTTCTGTTTTAGTTTTGGCCAAATCTCCAGCACTGTAAGTTCATTTAGGATTATGATTCTTTACAGTTTTTTTTTTATACTGGAAACAAGCTATATATAGCATCCATATCAACAAAAAATATTTTTGCTAGGATGTTTCACTTTGAGGAAACAGAAACATTTTACAGAAGTAAGCTGTATAGCCTATTTCTTGTAAGTAGCCAATAAGGATACAAATCTTCAAAAATATTGTATCTGAAAGCTAGCTTCAAATGAAAATATGAAATAATTACTGCTTCTCCATAAATCAGGACTATCGTGACAACAATACAAGCCTAAGTAAAAAATAATACATGCATAATCTTAGAATCTTTTTCAAACATTACTTTAGTGACATTTCTAGAGAAAGTAAAGTCATAGTACACACTAGTGCAACTCCCATATCAGGTTGTGTGTTAAATGTAGCACCACTCTAAAAAGTAATGTGTCCTGCAGGCAGAAAGATCACGCTAAGGAATAAGGCATTTCACTAAAATGTATTCCTATTTCAAGATTCACACAGTAGAGGAAGAAATTATTTTCCTTTCTTAACTGTAAAAAAATGGTTACCACATTCTGATCAGTCACATTTGGAAAAAAAAATCAAACCTGTTGGCCCCAAGCCAGTATTGTGCAGTGCAAAGTTAAGTCTGAAATATTTAGAAGTTGTTTCATTGGAATGCATGGAACTCTGCGATGGTACAGTAGACTACCTGCTGCCCAAGCCAGGATCCTATAATTTTAGCTCTGGTGTTTTTCCAAGGGGAACATAGAGCATAGGTTGCATTTGCAGCAAAGTTTGTAATAAAGTCAAGCTTTTAGCTTTCAAATTAACACATTCAGTGTGCAATTCCCAAGGTACAGTAAATCATTTCAGAATTGTGATACACAATTCTGTAAATACACTGTAAATTGTATGTTCACACAGTAACTTCTTAAAGTAGAACTACCTCTTTAGATGCAATAACATTCTTTTCTGACTTCTGAAAGACTGGCAGGTTCGATTGTTTTGCAGAATTACTGTTCAGTAGGAAACACTGACTAAAACTCCATTGCTCCAACATATTGGAAAAGAGAACAATATCAATTGTTCTAGAGTACCTACAGTTCTATTGTTAGAGACCAAGAAAGGGAACTTAAAATAATTATCAAACTCTATTCTTAAAATTTATTGCTGTATTTGGCATAGATGTCATCAAATATAGAACTGTGTGTCGATATCGCACAGGTGAACGATGTTTTCCTCCTAAATGGCAAGAGGGCAGAAATAACAAGTGAAGATATCATATTTTGGGCTTAAATGGGGGTATAGTGTAAGCAAGTAGAAACCAATAATTTGTCACGGAGTATCAAAATATAACCAGCACAGAAAGATAAAGACTGACAGATTAACTAAAAATATGTTTATGCAAGAATGCTAATGGATTTACACTACCAGATTTCATCACTCTTTCTAAAGCTCTTTTGTACTTAATTCCAGTGCTTATTCAGAAAAGTACAATGCCTAGCTAAGGAGGTACTTCAAGATGTCTGAAGTAAAATCTCCCCCGGCGAGATATAGCTGTCTGTGAGGAACAGACAGGTTCCTCACAGGAAGGGACAGTAGTTTAACACTTCATATCTTTTTTAAGCCCATCAGAAGCTAATTTTCACCATGTCACTCAAGCTACTAAGTAGGGATGTTGATGAGTTTGTTCATTCTTTCCATACTTGCTCCAAGAGCAGAATTACTTTTTACGTGTATACCTGGCTTAAGGATACAAGCTTGCCTAAAGAAGAGCCATAGTCCATTTCAAAGTAAGGAACTAAACTGTTATATGTTATTTAATGTAGGGCACTCAAATAAAAAAATAATCAGGAAAAAACTATGTTGTGATTGTACTTGTGGCTCAGTAGTCATGGGAATCTGTCACAGATACTTGGATATTAGGTGTGATTTAAGCAGTCATGCTAATATTCCAGGCAAGGTGTTAGAGCAAGGTGCCCTACAGATTTTACAACAGCATTCTGAGAAGTTTACGTGTTAGGAAAATGCCAGTGCCTGGTTCCCATGGCTAACCTGAGTGAGATCTGTTATAGAAATAGCCCTTTCATACTTTTCTGAAAAAACAGCCATCTCATATCACATATGGTTTCTATTACCTTCGTAACTCATTGCACTGTGCACATTTCATTTTAGGCCTGAGTAGTCCATGTCTCTCCACTGGCTGTAACAAGAAATGGATTCTGCATTAAACAAGTTAACTGACAAGCACTCCAAGACCTTGTTCAAGCCGCCAGGCAAAGTAAACTGTATTAGAAATCTTTTTTGTTAAACTGTTTTAATAAATAATACCAACCTGTGTACTGAAGATGCATGGGGTGTCCTACGTACAGCATGTCAATATGGGGTGGATGTTTTACCCTGATTAGCCTTGTCTGGTTCTCTAAAGAAGGAGTCACACAAAAGCTTGGAACAAAGTCCTTCTGGCAGTCCATGTTGGTTTGACAAACTCTGCTGGCCTCAATAACTTTTCGTGCTGGCAGACAGGCATACTGCAAAGGGCATTTAAAATTATTATCAAATTTAAAGGTATTTTCCAACGATCAGAATAAAGATCCTTTTTAAAGCAAAGGAAGCGCCTCACTGATATACTACCAGCCCATGCAGAGCTGAAATCTGATTTTTTGGGTTTTTTTGTCAAATCCTGCAGAATGTCTACCTGATACATATTCAACCTGTCATTCCATTTTTGGTGGAACGTGGAAGAGAGGGTTTGCACATGTACCAAAATAAAAGTTAACTGTTTTTAAAAACGTACACACACGCACAACAAAAAATCAAGGCATCTAAACATAAGTCAGTGATTTCTAATGAACAGAGCCTGCATCAACATACTAGCGACTTACCTGTTTAAGAAGTTTTACTCTTTATTGACCTAAAACCTCATTTGGCTGAACAAAACCTTATGTTCAGCAAACAAACCAACAAACCTACTGGCTGTGTGGTAGCTAAGAAACCATTCTCAACTAAGATGAACACAGGACTTAATGCAGTGCTGTGTCCCAAGTCCTACCTATAACACTCTCTCACTCTGCAGTCTAAAAGACCAGATCTTTCTTGCTCCCCACAGGCCAAAGAGAGTACAGCAGAAAGGAACAGGAAATTCTTTTTTCCCCTCATGTCTCTCGTAAAAGCTCAGTGATAATTTTCCTTATGTTCTTAAACACAAGCGAGGAAAGTTCTTCATCTACTGTTTGCCTTAGGGGAAAGAAGAAAAAAAAAAAAGGATTTTCTTGCTTTTTAGCCTGATAGTTACACTCCCCATAGATGCATGAGTATCAGACACTCTCCATTAACCTCAATACAAGCTCCTTCTATTCTAATGAGGGGGAGAGGGCACACTTTCAAATACTGCTGCATAGCACTGCAAAGACTATTTAAAATAATTGTTCAAAAACTCACAGCCAGTCTAAGGACACTTGAAGGTCACAGGCTTCTGGATGCTTTTATTTCTTCTCTGTTCCTAAGTAGCAGCTATGGGCTTAAGAATGTCAAAGCTCAGTGGGGTAGTGATTTATCAAGTCTTGCTGAACTTCAGGACATTACCAGCCACTGTCATATTTCAAATGAACTGCTGGTCTGTGCTCAATTCTTAGTGGTTAAATACCACAAAAACACCCTGGAGTGGGAAGCTTACCATCGTAGAAACTGTAAACATAGCAGATGTAGGAACAGACTTATTTCCATTTCTTCAGGTATTTATCGCTAGAGGTCAGAACAATAACAAACTAGTATGTGTAGAAAAGTTTACACAGTTGCTACTTGTGCTCTTTTTCTTGTAGAGAGAACTGTTAGAAATATTACATCACTGTCAACATGGATCACGTAGTTTAACAAACATTTCTGTATTTTGAAGAGAGTAAGTCAAAAACCTACTGAGAAACTTTATATGTTTCCACACGTTACAAGAAAATCAACACGGTGAAAAAGGAATCAAATAGAGGCCCTGATTTGGAGAAACTGGGCAATCTCTAGGACCTTCTCTTGCATGTGTTTAGTTTAACCCAGTGAACAGCACTGCTGGCTTCAGACAAAATAACTGAACAGATAGTCCAGTGCTTTGCTTTGCCTGTAGTGCTCAGTACCTTTAAAGACTGAAGCACCAAAATAAGCAATTTCACCTTGTTCTCAAAAGTTGTTTTTTCTCACCAGTATTCTCATCCAGTGGTGAAAATGGGAGAGGTGTCTTTCTGCCTAAAGGAATGAGGGGTATAAGATCTCTTCTGGTTCATGGGAAAAATCATAACTAATACTTTGGTTTTTTAAGCTGTAAATGGGGAGAATAAGATACACGTTTATTACAAACTTTAGGTATTCTTAAGCACTTGAGCATGCTGCATAAACGTTGGTAAATATTACTAATTTAATTTAAATAATTTCAGATTTACCAAACAGAATTAGCAGTTTAAGTAACTTACCAGGTGGCTGTTCAAGTTATTGCTGTAGGAAAAGCAAATGTCTGTGAGGCTGTTGTTACTACAACATTCAACTGTGCCATCGAGTCTTCTATAGACTAAAGAACATAGGCAAAGAGTAAATGATCAGTATTATAGTAACTTCCTGAAAAGAAATTAGTCTATGAATAAAGTAAAACAATCATTCTGTAGCCTTCAAGAATTATAGTAATTCACAGAGCCTAGCTGTCGTTCAGTCACAACTAAAAATAAGCTTCACCCCTTTAACAATGTCACCTGATTTCAATCACGTCACATACTGATTTTTTCATCTTAATAGATCTCCTTGAGATACTGGGGATCTACCACTGCAATGTTCTGAGCATTACGAGTTACAAAATATTATCCATTGCCCCCAACTTGTATTAAGGTTTGGCATAGAAATTAGTTACCTGCTACTGTACTGATTTCCCTGGCTGACTATGCAAATGACCAAGACTCAAAACATCCTCTTTAAAATGTGAAAGCCTTTACAAGATTCAGGTTTTGAAAGCTTTCCAAGCCTTGAAGGTTGCAGCAGTGAATAAATGATGTTTTAAACCGTGACTTAAATACTCTGGTACACAAACTTTGCATGGATATTCTTTAGATTAATTAAACCTAACTTAATCTACAACAACAGCTTTTAAAAAAAAACACAAAAGAATAGTCACTGTAAGAATCTGTGTCACAGCAACACTGCAGTACCTTCCTTAGGTAGATTAAGCCTGCAATACTGGTTTCTGATTTATCACTGCATAACCTGCAGTCCACTAACATGGAACTTTATGCCTGGGGCTTACAGGTGCAAGCACTGTACCATACAATCCTTTTTTCAAGTACCCTGAGGCTAAGCAACCACATACATTTTTGAATAGTGAATGACCATGAAATTAGTTTCCTTATAAAGTACATTGAAAACACTTTTTTTTTTTTTTTTTAAATTTCAAGAAGGTCCTTGTGGCATTGTTTTCTGTCTAGCTTCATACTCAAATACTTTATTCTCCATTTGTTTTATGGTCAAGTAGATAGGGTCCAATTGCTAGATACATTTTTATTGATATTCTGTATTTATGTCAAGTTGTGAACTGTCAAGATTTTGACAAATGACAGCTGCTAGAGACTGAATAGAGTTCATTTAATTTCAGAGGAATATTTCTCACTGCTGGAGGCTTATGGCTCCAAAAATGCAGACAGACTGGTCTGATTAGAATGCAGCAGTGGGACAATGGGCTGCTAACACAACACAGCAACCAAGCTTGAGTCTCTAGTATTAAGTCTCTAGTATTTCAATCTAAATAGGACCGGTTCAGTTGCAGAATATGCAGTTTTATTATCCATGACTCTGAAATTGCATTTCAGAGAACAGCAGAACCTGAGCCTATATACCTATAGCATCTAAGAATTGGTTCGTACTTGCCATCCGGGACCAGCTGAAAGTTGTGTGTGACAAAGTTGCCCTCCTCTTCAGAGGGATAATCCAAACTGTTAGGTCTCTCAAAGCAGGATCTTACGCATACTCCGCTAGTTTCCAGTTTAAATATTTATCTTAGTTCCAGCTGTAAGATTACTCTCCTCACATACTAAAAAAAATAATTACCTTTCAGTCTCACAGGAGAACTATAATGCAACAAAAAACATGGATAGTTGAACTCCCTGACCTCCTGTTTACTTCCAGTATGACGGAAAGATGCAGCGACCATTTTAAAGCTTTGAATAGCATCATATAGGTTTTGCTCAGTAGCAGCCCCCTACCTCCGGAATTCAGTCTCCATGGATGCCTGCATGAAACAAACTCTAGAGAGCTTTAGGGCATAGAATCATAGAACACAGAATCGTTTAGGTTGGAAAAGACCTTTAAGATCATCAAATCCAACCATTAACCTAGCACTGCCAAGTCCACCACTAAACCATGTCCCTAAGCACCACATCTACACATCTTTCAAATACCTCCAGGGATGGGGACTCAACCACTTCCCTGGGCAGCCT